CTGTCTGGACCAAGCATGAGAGCTTCCCTCGCCACACGATTGCTGCCTTCTTGTACAAGAATCAGCGCATCCATGACGGCCTCGTAACGATTGTCGGTGTGCGGAGCCACATGCTAGCTACCGTTAGTCATGAAAGTCTGCATGACTTGCTGTGCTGCAGCCACTTGCCTGCCACACAGAAGCGAAGAAGAAGAGCTTCAAGACTACGTCCAGCCACAGGGTGTTGCGGTCCAAGAACTTGACCCCATCATCCTCTGATGCAAAATGGTCATACAGCAGCCGATTGGCGAAGTCATACAACCTTAGCCGGGTGACAGGACTGCCACCTACGAGTCGTGCATGCAACATGAATTCGCTCGGCTATGCCATGGCAGACAAGCCTGCCTGTACAGCTTAGATCTAATCCCAGGGACGGATAGGCCACAACCAGCCATGTCACAGCCCCCAGTAGCTTTAGCCACCGAGCCCCAGACATGGCTCTACGAAGGACTCAGAAGTCTGCGAGTCGTTGAACGACCATGGACGGTTGGAGTGCTTGGAGTCTTCCCCGCTGCTGCTTGATTGCGCCGCTTAGGGTTTATCTGATGTGTTGCTGTATGCATTCTCCCTTGGAGACTGTGTGACTATTCTGTTGGATGTAATCGAACGCCTGCCATGAGCAACAGCCCAACTTGTTTGACTTGGTTGGCTCTTGCACCTACACGACGAGCTTTGTGTGACTGACCACTTTGCCTTGAGCTCCTTGATCTTCTTCCGCTTTCTCCTCTTGATCTCGCCTTTGCGGCAGAGATGGCAGTAGGGGCAGTCGTCACCTCGGACAGTCCGCAAACAGGGCATCAGCAACTCATCAACTTTGGCTACCGGCTACCGGGGCGGCAGTGTCTCCAGAAACTGAGTATCCATGCTGTTGCGGCATCCATCCGGCTTGTACAAAAAGTATGCGCAGGGCCTTAGATAGCCAGAGTTCCATGGCCTGAGGGCCAAAGTCCCCCACCCTGCGACTGCGGATGACAACTTTTGGACAGGATATACATAAACCATGGGCCCCACTTGCACTCGCCCCGATTGTGCGCAGCTTCCATGTTGGGCCACCTTGGACATGATGGATTAAGGACTCGTCCGCAGGGCATGTCATGAACCGGGGCCGTGGCTTGGTGCGCCAGGCAGTGACACACATGACAGTGGGCGCAGACTGCCAGGGATCTGAGCCAAGGCGTAATGGAGGAGGGGAGGGGGGGGGGGGGGATCGTTTCACTTTGTGGCGGCCATCCGAGGCGGCGGCTCTCTGTGTCGTCTTCTGAGGTCATGGAGGACATGACAGGTAGGTTGTAGAAGGTGTTCTTGATCTGACAGAGGAGCATTTCAGAGTTTGTCAACTGCAAGATCACTTGGAAGAGAGCCTCCAGCTGAGAAGTAAGATCCTAGGAGTCAGTCTGTGTGAGCATGCACTACCGTCGTCACCAAGGTTTGCTCTCGGTCAGAAGCAGCTGAGGAATGCACTACCTTGCCCAGGAAAACGTCCTCTTGCAACTGCTCATCATAGTCATCCGACTCATCCTGCCATCATCAGGCACAGAGCCATGCGGGGAGGCACGACGCTTCACATTGCGCTGCACGGCTTCAGGGACTGATGTGCAGTGGCATGTGCAGAGTGGCACAACACACTAGGCTTCAGGCGGCCCAGTCCGTCAAGGGCCTCAAGGCCAGCTGCACTTGATTCAACAGCCCGAGCCGCCACCGCACCCCCTTTATGCTTGAAGTTAAGGCAACGTCGTGGGCAATGGCACCTCCATTGCTGCCTGTTGTGCTGCAGATGCCTCAACTGCCAGTCGAATCTAAATGATTCTGCGGTGGCACATTCGAGGTTCTGGCCATCTCCTCATCCGGCTTTTGGGGCGCCGAGGATGAGGACGAAGCGCCTGAAACAGGAGCCCAGGACAATCCGCAAGTTTCTCGTTTGCAAAGGCAATCGGCCTCCTTGCGATGTCAGATCCCTCGAACCCCGAGACCTGCACAATTGTGCATCAAGTCTTGCCTGCTCCAAATCCTTTTGGGGGACTGGTGCAAAAAGTGACGATGATCACTGCAATCTCTTTCACATTAGTGTAACATGTCCTGGAAAGGACGACCACGCGCACTGACACCAGGGTACAAGTCACCATCTGCCCCGAAATCCATTCTTCTGTGTTTCTGGAGGTTAGTAGTTTGCGGTCAGGGACCACAGGGCTGGCATTCAATTGCTTACCCACTCACGTAATTACGTACTTTCTTACTTACTCAGAGAGTCACCCCTCAATCAGTCCTTCGTTCATCCGTCCGTCCGTCAGTCTGTCCTCTTGACTGTTTGTTTACTTGTTTAGATGTTTAGATGTCTAGCTCTCTAGCTAGATAGTAAGCTAGTGAAATTAGTTGGCCAGCTATGTTTACAGTTAGTTGTCTAGTGAGTTAGTTAGTTGCTAGTTAGTTAGTTGGTTAGTTGGTCAGTTAGTTAGTTGGTCTGTACTCAGTTAGTCACTTAGTTAGTTCGCTCGTTGGTCTGTTGGCTGGTCGGCCAGTCGGTTAGTTAGGCAGATAGTTAGTTGGTTAGTTAGCTAGTGGGTAGTTGGTGAGTTGGTCGTTTGGTTGGTTGGCTAGTTGATCAGTTGGTCAAGTGGTCGGTTGGTCGGTCAGTCGGTCGGGTGGTTGGTTGGCCAGCTGATTAGTTGGCCAGTTGGATTGCTGGCTACTTGCTTAGCTGGTTACTTCGTTAGTTGGGCAGGTCAGTCGCTCAGTCAGCTAGTCTCGCAAGTTTGCTTAGTCTAGTTAGCTTGGCTAGGCGAGATAGTTCAGCTAAGTTTGTTTAGTTAGTTTAAGCAGCTTTGTCTATAGTTGGTTCGGCGACCTTACTCAGCTGGCTAGCCCAGTTAGCTTAGCTAGAGTTGTCGGCTTAGGTCTTAGATTCTTAGCTAGTTTCTGTTAGTTAGTTAGTCAGTCAGGAAATCAGTAGCCAGTCAGTCTGGCAGTCCGTCTGTGAGTCAGTCACTCACTCACTCAGCTAGTTAGCGCGCTGGTGCATCAGCGTAGTTATCTAGCTAGATAGGAAGATAATTGAGCTGCTAACTTACTTTGTGTAGTCGTCCGCAGATAGATGGCAAGTTTGCTAATTAATTAGTTAGCAAGCCAGATAGATAACTAGCTAGTGTGCTTGTTTGTTAGCTGAATGGCTGGCTAGCTGGCCAGCATTGATTCGTTCGTCAGTCAGCTAGTTAGTCAGCCATGCACAGATCATCTGTCGACATATGCGGCATATTCACTTATCTGTCTATGTTAGTTTTGCAGGTCATTCAGAGATGCGTCTACAAATCTATACCCTATGTGATTAGATTCCTCTAGCCTGAATTTCACATGCGGCATGCATGCTGGAACCATATACATATACCAAATCGCATGCCATCTCTCGTACATAGACCCAGTTTACAGGCCATATAACCACACGCACAAACAAAAGCGTACAAGGAACTTCGAACAGCCCTCGCACAAACCATACAGAACCAGAAGCCAAGCCTAGCCAAGCCAAACCATTTTGAATCACGAGTTTCGTGACCTATCCTGACTGCACATCCTCTTGTAAAGACCCATTAGCTTAAACCCACAATCCTAGCCCCAAATCCCTACATACACCGGGCTCACTGGCTCACGCCCTAACCCTGAAAGGACAGCATTTCATCGTCTCTTGTTCCGATGCTTGTGCCGACGTCTGGGAAGCCTCTGATCAAATCGTTTTCCGATTTTACGCCGATACCCGGACACCGGTGTGCGGACGCTCTTTCATTGTATCCGTATGCCGGAATCGACTATCCATTCCGCCGTTTCCAACCACCTCGGTACATTGCCATGCACAAAGCATCGCGACAATGTCGTGGGCGCATGCCGGTGCATATCTGGCATGTCATATCTTTGCACCCAACATCTGACCATACGAAGCTCTACTCTAGGTACGCCGTAAGCAGTGAAAGCTTCATTGAATCTTCCCTTTCCAAGCCCCTTCACATATCTGTCAAAATTATGCGCCTGGAAAAGAAGCTTTCGACGAAGCTGGACATCTGTTCAAAGACCGTCCCGAGCGAACAGTGTGAGCACGTGAATTGGAAGGAGGGTGTGGCTTTGCAGGCTTGATGAGTGTCCGGTGGGCTGTGTGGGGTCTGTTGGGCCCATCTGGACCTAGCTGTGGGCGCGTCTGCTTGCAGCGGCAAGTGATATGATGCTGTGCACTTGGATGGTCTTTGTCCTTGAGCCTGAAAGTACATCCATCAGTCAAGACACGAAACTGGCTGCCAAAATGGATGTAGAGACTCCGTGCCTTCGCATGAGTTATCACAGGCAGACCGTCATACCCCATCATCAGTTGAGCAGGGTCGGCACTATGCCTAGCCTATCCATCCCTTTGCAAAGTGCCGGAGTTCAGAAATGCGTCCATGCCGCTTGCCGACTCCGTCATCTCGGCCGCGCCATTCTATTTTGCAAGATCGCATGCAAGTCAGGATGGACTGTCCACGAGAAGTGAATTCCGACATGTTCTGACTCCACACCGGGCGGCAGCGGGCAGCCGAAGACCCACAACCCGTCCGAAACGGCTATCCACATCTTACAACGTTGCGCAACGCCAACTCGATGTCTTCGTTGATAGCCAACATCAACGCTGCTCCAAGTCAAGCCGCCCCACACTTCGCGGGGGCCAGCCCGAACAATATAGACAAACCAGGAACAGATCGAATCGTCTGCCAGATGCTGAATCGTATGCTCATGGGACGTTTCTGGGCACGAGGACTTGATTCGTGTCAACTTTCACTCTGCTGTCTCTCGGCTGGAGCCACCTCGTAAGATGTCGTCCACATGGGTGACTGTGATAGGCTAGCTGGCTTTCGAGTATCAGACTTGCCGCTAACATCATGGTTACGAGCTGGTTCATCATCTTCCCTTGAGGAAGAAGTGAAACGCGCTGTGGGACTCTGCAGCCTTGGCTACAGCTGGAACCTCAGAGACCAGATAGGGCTGGAAGAACCAAACTTCCACAGCAGCTGAGATTGGAACTGCCACTGTTCCGAACCATCGTCACTCTCTTCTGTCTCAATCATACCAGGAAATATTGCCTCAGATTGAGCTCGGATTTCTTAATTCGGAATGTATTTCGTTGAAGCTCGTCTGTTGCACGACTTGTTCTGCAAGGTAAGTAGCCTTGTCTCTGAGCTCATTCTCCTGTCAAGAGACTACAATTCTACAGTCCGTTACATCAACCAGCATGCATCGCGACTATCACAAAGCATGCGCCTGGATCACGAGCTTGCGCTTCGCAGCGCTGCTCCATGTGAAATCGGCACGTGCAGAAGCCTTGGCTAGTTATGCCCTTGTTTGCTCTGGGAACTGGATTGTGACATTGGGCTCTGCGCCTCTGTTAAGCCTTTCAGCTCACCAGCCAGAATTCGACCAACCTCGCCATGTGTTTGCCACGCCTGTGAAAGCTGGCATCCTGTGAAACTGAGGTCACCACCTGATTGAGTCTTGCCTGGATCAAATCCGCTTGGTGGTTCATGCGCCTGCAAACGACGAGCTTGTTAACCACAGAATCTCTCACCAGGGCGCTTCCCTGCAAAGCTGAAATAGTTCTCCGCCCTACACTGCTGTCCCAAGCTGCGCAATCATGGATTCCCGATGCCAAACAGCTCCAGTCCCTACGGGCCTCATCCTTTCGACCCATAACTTGGACATTTTCTTGTTCTTGTCCAAAATAGTAATGAGCCGGCAGAGATCGGCTCCTGCGTGAGGCAAGCTGCTGCGAATTTCAGGTAAATGCGAATCGCCGCGGTCCTTTCGCTTGTCCTTTGACCTTCCACAGCTGATCCAAGAATGCCAAGGCAACAAAAACGGCTGCTGGCCTTGAAGAGGCCACTCAAGAACTCGATCGGGCTCAATGCCCCGCTCCTGAAACTCAGAACGCTGTCAATGCAAGTTGCCCTATGCTGTAAGCGCAAATGCAGGCACAGCTTCTTGTCCACATCCATCATCTCGAACCTGACTAAACTTGTGTCACACAGCACGGGAAAAACGAAGGGCCTCGTGCCCCCAATTCTTCGAGGAGCAGATTTTCGGCTTCTACAGCCCCAACTTCCAAGAACTTGAGCTTCTCCGTCATTGGCCCGGTCCTGCACAAAGACTCTGTTACTCCGTGCAAAGGACGGCAGCCCAAGAGCCCTCGCCGTCCTCAGCACCTTCCGGAACTCTTTCATGTCCAGCTCGCCGTTGAAATCGGTGTCGCAATCCTTGGCTCCCGAACTTCGGACGTAGAGGGCCGGTGAAGTGTGAAGCAGACGATAGGCCCCCACTCTCTTCATGCGTACGAGCAGCATCGAACTCTTTCAGCATGGACATCATAAGAAGCTTCTCCGTCTTGGCCACCAAGGCAATCTTGTTCTCCTGTTGGAATCCATGCAGAACTTGCTGGTGTTTGTAGGGATCGCTTCAGTCCAGGTAGGTCCTGGGTATCCTGAGAGATGATTGTCATCCTGCAGTAGCTACTCAGAAACCACATCGGCCAGCGAAGCTCACCAGACAGGGTTTGCACAAGACACGCTGCAACACTCTGAAAGCATCTCTTCGGATGCTGCTAGGCCCAGGCAAGGGCTTCTTCACGGCAACTGGGCCCGGCACCTCTCCACCTGACAGGTTTGGGGCTGTCCTAATGCTTGCGCAAGCCGAACTCGAAACATCCTGAGCTGGACGCCATAATCGCCAGGAGAATGTTCAAGGTGCCAAAACTCAGCATTAACATTGTCAGATAAACGACCTAAGCATCAGATAACTCTTCTCACAGCACCATACGTTGCTCTACTGTTCCGGAGAGATGCTAACAAGGAAACTGCTGTAATGCTGGCTTCAGCCTGGGGACGATAAGGCCGAGAGGTGCGTAACTCAGGATTGGTCTCAAGATATTCTGATGGACACTGTCCAGAGTCATGACCTCAAAAAACCGACAGAAGCGGCAAGTTCAGAAACTATGCCACATACATGGTGCCAGGCCTGCAAAATGGTGTACAAGGACCTGGATGGAGCATGCCCCGGGTACGAGACTGTCGGGACTGAAAGAGCCAGAAACATAATGGAGCTGCTAGCCGAGAGACCGGGATACCGTGCCACAATACAGGTCCACATCCAGCCAGAGCTCCCTGGCTGCCTCAGTGCTGCGACAACCGCCGACCAGGGCGTGGAATACACGGGGTCCTGTTGTACCCTGCTTCAGTACGGCTTCAAGGAAATCAAACCTTTGGCCCATCAGGCGCATGAACCCAGGGTCTTCGAAGAAGTGCCTGTGCCGAGTGTCAGTGTCTCCTCCAACCAGGGATGTGAGCGCCACCGCCAGCATGTAGGCAAAGATAAAGGCAGCCGCTGACATCCAAAAAACTGAAGGCAATGCGTCGATAAACCTCATATCTGTCAACTCGGACTCAGGCGTGGAGTATCATGGATTACAATACGCTGGTGTTGTGCTTGACTCCGAAAGCTCTGAGACATGCATTCATGCCTTCATGATGCCCCCATTGTTGTTTGCCAGCACATCGGGCAAAGCTGCATCTGCATTGCTGCCAACCCGGCGCTGTGCTCCCATCCCCGACGCGTTTCCAGAACCTATGTGTGCTGTCGCTTCCGCGCGCCGAGCGGTCGACTGAAGTGAGCACTGAGCGGGCCCTGAGCACGATCGCCGACATTATCCGAAACCAGCTCGACTACGGTGCGAACTTGGCATGCAAACCCAAACGAGACAACCATAACCCATTGTCATTCCGGACCAAGGACCCTTGTGTAATTCGGAAGAGGCCCACGACCACCTTCTCGCCCTTTAGTGCACGGGCAATTCGAAAGGCTCGAAAGATGCCTTGGTCACCAGAAATCATGGGCTGCAGTGTCGCCCGCATGCAGTTCACTGGCACATGCACCACCAGTCTGCCAAGCGCAAGTTGCGCATTGATGCTGCCCACCGCAGGCCACTACCGTTTTCCTTGGCCATACTGACCACCTTGGAGAGTCTGCCATCGCAGTTGCGCACAGATTCTGCAGACGACCACAACTCAGCAGCTCAGCTCTATCTGCCCGAAAATGACTAACCTTCCAAGCTGCCAAGTCTGCACAGCTGAAGACGACCAGACTGTAGTCGAAGACATTCCATGCATCCATGAAGTATTCCTCAAGAGATCTCAAGAGCGAATAGTTTTCATCGAAACTCGCCTGCCGGTGCTGCGCTGTGACTGTGCTAAATGCTTTGCTCGCTTTGCCGCGAGTCCTGCCTCGACTGCTGTCATGTTTGCAGTCTCGCAGGTGCATCACAGACAAGAAACCACTGAAAGGCAGAATTTGGATTCGAGGGTCCAGGAGTCCAGGGCAGCAGAAATGTTTCTGCACGTGGCTGCCCAGAGAACAAGACATGCCGGGTGACACGTCTGTTTCAGCCAAGGCACCCAGCTGAGCTGGTTTATTCTGAGCAGCATCTCTACAAAGAAGAAGCCCGTGAAGGTGACTTCAGTGATGAAGAATGGTATCCGGTCTTGAAGCCTTCGGGGTGCATTCACCAGAACCAGGGCCCGGGGCTATCGAAAATGGCTGCGAGTGCCCGGCTCCAGGACGCCCTGATCGCTTTCCACACCTTGTCATTGCAAGACTTCGGATCCCTGCAGGTACCGAGCGAATCCCAAATCACAAAGCACTTCAAGTTCTGAAACCGGCCAAGTTGCCAATAAGGACAGTATTCGCAAGGGTGACTATGACAACCAAGAAGTTAAAGAAAATGCTGGAGGCAAAGTGTCTCTGCCTGGCATGAGGCCGACCACAGAACACTCCATCGCACATATTGCTGCTGCACACTGTCACAGCTGTTAGCTGTTAACAGAGGCACCATGACTGACCGGACTCTGTTGTTCATGGTTCATGTTTCAGGATGTAAACCTGAATCCTGTCAACCCTAAAGGCCCTTGACCTGCACTGGTGCGCCGCTTTTCTTGTGTAGGGCTTCAGGGTACGTCGTCGGGTTCCAGGTATGCGGGCTAGGCTCAACACGTTGCAAAGTATTTGTGCAGGTACAAGTACAGCACAACTCCGAGCGCGAAATGCAGCTGCACAAAACCTGCACCTTCCGCAAACTGCTTCTCGAAAGCCGTTCCCCAACAGCAGCGACGTCCCAAACAGGTGCGAAATCCCCAAACGCAGCAAGCAGCTGGCATTGTCAAATCTTCCGCGGTTTACACTTAAGCACTGGAGGTTCTCAGGCTTTTTACAATCAGCCTTGAGGAGGCCTTGAAGCTGCAAACACATCAGGTGGAGTTGGAAAGCACTGTAACCCACGGGCCACCACACCGACCATGACATTCTTAACATGCAGAAATATGCAGACGAACCAAGAACAAGGCATGAAGAAACAGCAGGAGAAGGAGCAGGGCGGCAGCGGTAACGGTGGAAGCGGCGATGGCCGTAGCAGAAGCAGCTTCAGTAGCAGTTGCAGAAGTGGAAGTAGCAGCGGTGGTAGTAGTACTGGTAGTAGTGTGAGGTATTGATGTCTCGCTCCCTTGGTTCGTCGCCTGGCTTTCTTGTCTTCGGGCCATTCCGTGCGAATCTGGTCGAAGAGCGTGACAAGCCTTCGGGTTCAGGGTCGACATGGTCTGGGGTTCGGGGCCTGGAGAAATGCGCTGCCCCAGCATTCCCTTGCATTCCCTTCTGCACTGATTGCGACTTAGGGCTGAGACCTGTCTGGAGGATCTTCGGGTGGTTTCCTCTCCCAGGCAGCACTCAGCACTGCAAGCACCTCTAATTCAGCTCTAAGCTCGGTGATAGATGCTTGAATAAGAGGGGGGTGTCTCATTCCGGAGCTGCTGCTCCACAGGACGGATTCTTCGATTTGTTTTCCTGCACACATCTTGCAAAAGTGTCCGCCGGCCAGGTGGAGCCCAAGCGATGCACAACGAGGCCAACGACCTGCGATAGCGTATGATGAAGCCTGCATGTAGATGCGCTGCTGCTTTCCTTGCTCGTGCTGGATGCCTGCGGCAGTTACAGTATGCTCGACGGGGTCATCACTTGAAGAGAACACCCGATGCTTCGCAAGCACTGCAATGGTCGGATGTTCGCACCCTGTATTGGGCTGCTGAACACTCACGACGAACCGGGCTTCACACCGATTATGGGGAGATCATTCCCTACTCTACCGGGGGGCTTATTGTATGCATTTTCAAGGCCCAGATCCGCGTTCCGGGTCCCGGTGTCCGGATGTTCTGGGTGCGGGCGGGGTGCAGCAACACTCTTGCTCGCTTCTTCCTGCTTGGATCTGCTTGGGAGGCCTTTTGCATCCTGAGCGAGGCAGGATTGCGCATTGGGGAGGTCTAACCTCTGATCTTGACGATCTGCTCGGGTTGCTGAGTCCAGTCCCAAAGGACCAGAAATCCAGAAGCACCAAAAACCCCTCGACTGCACCGCTGAGAATCACAGGCATGTCTGCGCTCGGGATATAGAGCCAGCAGTAGGGAGAAGCTAGTTGGTCTTCTTCAAGCTCGATTGAAAGTCCTTCATGGGCCTAGTTGCGTTCTGCTGCGCTCTTGCCGGCGGAGGGGATGCATGCAGGCGTGCATACCTACTACTTCACACGCTGTACTTGTACTCGGCTGCTCACTCCGCCCAGCTCGCCATCCCACTGCCCCAAAGAAGCCGAGATTTTGTGGGGTCGCCCAACTTCTTCCACCTCCCTGGCCAAGGCGTGGGGGCCAGCTGCATCTGCGCTTCTACAATTTTCAACATCCTCTCGCTCTCTGACAACTGAGGCATGCAGGGAAGCGATGGGAAAGTCAGGAACGCTCCACAACATTGCAGAAGCTGCGGGAACGACGAAAACACACACAGAGATACGTAAAACGGAGAGGCAGTGTGTGTCCACCCAACACTCTGGAGGTCCTCCCAAGGCATTTTGCTGCCCAGCCCACACAAGACATTTGAGCCACAAACGCTGCGGATTGAATTGATACACGAACCCGAACCTTGCCTTCTGTTCCACACGGCTGGGTGCCACGGTGCGCCTTCTTTTCACAAACAGCTTGGCGAGCGAATGGGAGCAACTTGCAGTTCTCCTGCGTCGACGAGGCACGGCTGGTCTTCAGCCGGGCCAAACTTTCAGTCGAAGAACAGGCCTATGGACTCCAACGCCCTGCAAAGCCAAGCTTGGCAGGCCTCACCTCACCAGCAGCCTAGACAAAGGCGAGAGGTCCCCAGAGACTCTCAGCCGAAAACTTTTGCCATCACCTTGGGTTGCACGAAGGGAGATTCGAACATGCGGCGGGAGTAGCTTGCAATAAGCCAACATGAACAAATCTAATCAGGACGGGTCCGCCTTGACGGCAACTTGCGGACAGCAGGCATCCGCGAGGCGACCGCGGTGCGCACCAGGTGAATCAGGTCCATCCAGAACACGGGCTGGTCGCTGCCGGACGCTGCCACGGATCCTCGATAAGCAAATTACTTCTGATCGCCAAACGAAGAAGACAATTCCACTTGGTGCCCGACTCGCACGATTGTCGCTTGCAAAGCAGCAAGGCGCCATCTGGTAGCCTGAAGTCGTCGTGTTCCACCAGACATAGAAATTCAATTGCTCATCTGTGCAAAATACTTACACGGCTTGGCAACAGAGCGCCAGAGTTGCTAGAGAGTGCCCAACACTGTCGCTTCTTATGGACATTTTCGCTGTGTCACCTTCACGCCAGCGATTACTTGATGAAAATGCTTCTCGTTTGGGTCCACATCTTACTGTGCATCATGATGCAATTGTAGAATTGGTTGTTTGAGATGCTTGCTGGCATGCTTGAAGCTTGCTGTATTCAACTCAGATAACAGAAAACGCAAACACGTCGAACATCGACTGTAGCTCTACTCATATCCACAGCTGGGCTATGCCAACCTCGTCCAGCCCATGTGACACAATATGCAAGGAACAGAGGCATAAGCAGTACTGCAGAGCAATTACTGGTGACGGAGCTACAGTGGAGCAGCAGCTCTCGTAGATGAGGGCAGGTGTTGCTAAAAAGCTCGCGAGGCACGCCGTGTGATGACAGAGACAAGACCTGACAGAACGTAATCCTCAAGTGAAGCTAGACGTTTTGGCAAGACCAGATAGCTGCACGATTGAAGCGCATTCCCTTTCCAGCACTGCAGCCGTCACGGGACAAGCACATCCAAGAACATCCAACTTGATGCCATGACAGCAGAGGCTGTTTAGAGCTCGCAGAACGAAGAGCAGGTGCTCAGCGGGCATCCACTCTCAGATCCGCTACAAAGTGCTGCTAGGTGCGGAAAGGAGCTTTCGTCTAATCCCCGTCCCCTCGCACAAGCTCAGTCCACTGCCCAACTATGTCGACGCCTTGCATGGCGTCCTGGAACAAGCTGGAGGTGAGGTCCCATAGCCTTGCAGAAACATGTCGTGTCTCGAGGGATTGTTGAAACAAGAACCTCGAAATATAACAAAAAACTCGGAGTGAGTTCTGACTGCCCGATTTGGTACTAGGTGGGTGTTTGTAATCATCGGCCTCTTGGATGTTCTTCTGCTTTTGCTGCTTGCTTCCGCCCAAGACGCTAGGCGCCAGGTGCTGCGATGTCTTGTTGCTGCAATGACTCCAAAAGGCTTGTGGCAAAAGACACCCATTTACTCTTAGCGTCCTTACAACACGGCAGGAATCTTAATCGCTTGATGCTGCGCAGAGCTGAGGTTTCCCACTAGCCGAGCAGCAGCTCGCTGCTGTCCCAGCCAGGGATGACGGCGCACTGGCCGGCGAGCTTGAGGCCCTGCAGGTCGCCTTTTAACAGCCTCGGGGAGCTTCCAGGAAGCTTGAAGTCCCAACAAAAAGCATGTACAAACGCATACAGCATACAGTAACTAACCCCTCTGCTACAAGTCCTTCGGAACTTTGAAACCCTGAACCCAAGGGCCGGGCGATGTCTGCAGCGCCGGGCTCGGGGTCGCCGTGGCTGCGAAGTTTTCACCGAAGGCCATGCCGCCCGCGCCGAGGCCCAGGAAGATCCTCGAGTCGAGGACTTTGAGGGCTTAGAGCTGGAGCTTCGGACTTCGGAGCTCTGCAAATTTGAGACTTTCTGTTTGTACAAGATTTGAGCTTCAGGATTTTCGGACTCTAGTGTGTGGGCTTCAGGGCACATATCCTCTTTGTTTCTTGTGGCAACAAGGAGAGAAACTAGGTCTGGCTCCGAAAGTCCGAGGGTCAGAGAGCCTTGCTGGACGCGCTGAACGATCTTTTCTCCAAACTGAGGTGCGAAGATCCGGTAAACATAACCTTGCTCTGGGCAGTCTGTCACAAAAGAATGCACACAGCCACTTCATGCAAGCCCACATTAAGCCAAGCTGCCAAGCAGATCTGCATTTCCAGAGCTGGCGACTAGAACCGAAGCCTGCTTGCATGGAGATTGCAGTGGCACTGGCAATGGGTTCTTTGTTCGGCCATGGGCCGTGCTGGCGATGCCTTCTCCAGGAGGGTGTAGAACCTAATTCGGCATGGAAGCCCCACCGTGCCGTATGCCGCACCATCTGACTGCAAACTAAGCATTCTGCTCCTCAATGCAGGGACTGTTGGTCTCCACTGTCATGTCCACCTGGCCAACGCGCTCTGATGCGCTGTGGAAGGATGTCTCCGTGCGACGAAGCGCAAGATGACGCAATCGAAGATGCCCTGCAGAAAAAACCTTCCAGCTCTCGTGGCCTCTGGTTCGAGGCTCTGCGACTGTAGTCGAAACAGAGCCTGTCCGGAACGCATGCCCAAGCTCGGGCCTGCACAGAATTCTATCCGCCTCCTTCTGCTGGAAGGTTG